AGGCGTCCGCGAGGAAACGTGGGTTCGGTGAGTCGATCTCGAAAGGCGATTCTTGAGCCTTGGCGTTGCGACGGCTGAGTTGTCTCGGTTAGAGATCTCGTCACCTCTTCGAACCGTTGCTGCCGGGCAGTTAGCTGTTGCAAGGTACGCTCGTTGTCCTGAGCTCTTTCTACCAACTGCACCATCATTCGGCGCATTTCGGATAGCTGAGCTTCCGAATGATGCGGAGTGTGTTGGCGTTGAGGGTTTTCGGGAGGAGTAGCTCCGGTGTTGTTTCCACCGGAAGACCTTGGGTTAGCTATCCCAGTTCGATTCGGTTGAGCGTTAGCCGGAGGCTGTTGCTCGGATCGAGGGTCAGCGGGTTGAGGTTCCGGATCCTGAGGGTCCGGATCTCTTCTGTTCGGTGATCCGTCGATCTGGATCACGGGATCCGGGATGGATGGATTCGTTGCCTGGTTGGATGGATCCATTCTCAAGTTATGGAGTGAAGGATTCAATTATCTCGTCCCCACAGACGGCGCCAAAATGTGAGGGGTAAAACTCACTTCCAAGTTTAGGTTAGGTATAGATTGGGAAAAGATAATCGTGGACCGAATCCTGTTGGAACTTGTATGAATGAATACGTTGTTTATATTGATTTTTGGTAATAAAAGAGTTTACAAAGATGATCTTGACGATCTGAATAGAAAGAACAATGAATTGTAGAGAATGACTAAGAACAAAGTGTATTGGAGTCTCTCTATCTTGAATGAGTCGAATCCCCTTCCTCTGATCTCTTCTCTTCTTTATATAGCACTAGGTCACGTCCAACTTCTTCCGACGAAGCCTCCATGATTATCTCCATGAGTTGCGGGATTCGCAACAGCTTCCGCTTGACTAAGTCTTGCACGTCTCTCCGGAGCTGTTTCTCGCTAGCTGTTTTGAAAATGAGGTCCCGAATCTTTTGTTCGTGACCTGTTTTTATCGATAGGTAACGATTTCATTTGACCCTCACTTGAGGGGAGGCTTCCTAATGGGCTCGTAATGCTTTGCAAACGGTTTCTACTATTCGGCCCATTAATTCAGCTAACGGGCTAAATTCGGGCCCAACAGTGATGACCTCGGATGTGTGATTTTTCTCTTTCTGTTTTAAGTTCTGTTATCAGAGAGCTCGGATGTGTGATGTTTTATGTGGTTTTATGTTCTGTTATCTTTGTATTCTGTTCTTGAAGTTTAATTGAAATATTTAAGTAAAATGTGTATTGAAGTAAAATGTGTCTTTAGTAAAATCTGTCGTGTGTACGTGTGTTGTATTCTGTTTTCATATTGCAGGCTGCTAAAAGCATTGTGTACGTGTGTTGATTCTTTGAGCAGGGAGAAGACACATGTCACGGGTATTGCAAGCTGCAGTTGTTGTTTGTTGTTGTTTATCTTCAAATTTATGTTTAAAATGTTGTGTTTCACTTTGTTTTATGTAATAAATAAACTTAATCTTTGTTTAAAATTTCATGTTTAAAAATAAATTTAATATTTTTTTATTGTTAAGAACTTTAATTAAGAAACTACCAATAAACTAATATTATTATGTGTCTCTTAACAAAATTCCTAATCTCACTTTTAAGATTTAAAAACTCACTTTTAATGGCTAAGAGACCTTAAGTGGGTTTTGTTGATAAACATGCTCTAAGAATGTGTCTATGAAGAAACTTGGATGGAATCAACTCACAAATCTCTTTGTGCAAGTTGGCCAATCGTGAAATATGTTGGTCTTTCATAATCTATCTTTTTGTCTGTAGTCACTTTGAATCTTCATTTTATATCCTGTGTTGATTAAGTAACTTTTGTGATCTAAGGTCTTTTGATTAGAGAGAGGTGAGAGACTTTCTCTCTCGGTTCTCTCCCCCAACCTTATACTCTTGGCGTCTCTCATAATCTCCGTTACGGTGGCCGGTGGTGTTTTCTCAGCCGTCGGTCGCCACCCCAGCTAGCGTTCTGTTCGCCGCCTCCTCTCCTGTAGCCAATCATCCAACATTCATCTTCCTTGCTTCAGTCTCTCTGGATTCCGTCAAGTAGCGGCTGGATTTGACGGTTCTAATCAGAAGATGAGTGTGTTCTTGTCTTCTCTGGAGGATTGGCGAAGATGAAGTTGGGTCATTTGCCTTCAGGAAGCGTCGATTGGAGGTAGATCTGATTTTCGAGTTTGGCTAGATCTGGGTCAGATCCGCCTCGGAGGCTCCGCCGGACAGCAGGGCGTCGCTGCCTCTGCCTCTGGTTTGTCGCAGCCTCCTCTTGTATCAAACCTCTACCCCTGTCGATTGCTTAGCCAGAACTTCCCCATCTTGACCTTCGGATCTAAGATGAAAAGACGAGATGAGGCTCTCGTCGGGGACTTCTTCTCGTTATGATTTCGTAGCTCATAAGCTTGGCGGCTCTTCTCGTCGTCAGTGTTGTTGGAGCTTCGGTTCCCATGTTCTTCATATTTCCGGAAGGAAGCCATCCGTCAATGTTCCATCCTCGTCCTTGCTCTGGAGCTAGAATCTTTTCAGTTGATGCTCGTGTGAAGTGACCGGAGTTGAGAGCCATGAACCTCCGCTTGTTTCCGCCTGCGTCGCTCCGATCTTATCTGCTAGCTTCTCTTCTTCGGATTAGGGTCTCCTGGAACTTTCGGTTTGGCTTCTGGAGCTGTTTCGGCGTCTGGAGTAGACCTCATCGGTGCTAGCCGGACCAGGACCTAGTCAACCCTGCTTCGCCGTCCCACCCCTTCGAAGTCGCCTTCGGGATGAGCCTCGGTTCCTAATGTTTGTGGCTCTTTGTGCAGGTTCCGGCATCGAGAAGAAGCCTTGAACTACTGGATTGACATTTGAGTTTTGGTTTCATGTTTTAGCTAAGCTTTAATCTCTTCTTAGGAGATGATTAGACCTTGTTTCTCTATGGAAGTCTTTTTATCTTTTTTTGGGGCTTTCTACGAGCCTTGCTTTAATTAGCTAATCCTAGATGCATAAGGTTTGATCTTCAAGCTCTGATTGTATCTCTTGTATCATTATTTTCAGTAATGAAAATTCACATACTTATCAAAAAAAAAAAAAAAAAAAAAAATCTTCATTTTATATTCAATCTTAGTAGAAAATGGACAGACCTCTTTTGACATTCCACAAATCGCAATTCACTGGATCAATAAGGTTGTCTACGAAAGATTACATAATCACCACCATTAAAGACATGCAAGTTTTCTAATGAAAAATACAATATTATTGCGTATAGACTTTCGAAAAGATCACTTAAGTAGCATACAGAAACAAACATGAATAATTATCCTTTTACAAAAGATAACTAGTGTTGAAAATTATACTAGATAATATTAAACACTTTCATAATTTCAACACTTTATGCACATATTAGATTGAAACTATTATTACATACCTATGTCCACCTCGTCCAACACCTCCTTTCACCCATAGATCATTTCAATCACCGAACCCTCCAAATTCACAAGGGGACCTCCACATGAATCTATATGCATTGCACACTAAGTTTGAAAAATCGTATTTTTTTTGTTGTTTAAACAAAGTTTAACTGCTGAGAGTTAGGGTTAAACGCTTGGGTATATACCCAAGTCACTACAACGAATTATGAAGTGCAGAGTTTCGTTAGTGAAAAAGAGTTATCATCCTCTCATGCTCCAATGAGGTCAATTATAACCAAAGCTACACAGTGGTCTACATCAAAAGACACAACTATCCCCAAACATATATTGCCATCTTGCAGAGTAACATTAATATTGTGTCAACTATCAGTGAAAAGTAATGGTAATGACCGTCCCTATGTGATCAATAATAAATTTAGATTTCCCTTATATACTAAAGCGCAAGTTGCCTAACCAATAAAATTTGACACGTGGAAAATATTATTAAAAAAATTGAAAAATACAAAAAAAATCATAACACTTTATATAAAACATAAAACATAAGTTAACAATTCTAAGAATGACATGTGTCTTTTAAAATATGATTCTTAAAATGACATTTTAAACATCTTTTTGTTTTTCAAAAAGAAAAATAATAATAACAGTTGATCAAAAAAAAATCATAATAAAAAAAAAAAAAGAGAAAGGCAGTTACATGTCCACTATCACAACACGATCTTTGTATATTACTTTCTTGGTTCTAAATCACACAATTCCCCTAATATTTGAGAACCACCAAAGAAATACTTCATCTATATCGCAGAATGTGAAACTATGGAAGTAATAATCAAAAACACACACATTCTCCCTTGAAACACACAAAAGTTATTTTTCTATTTGGTAAACGACGGGTGAGTTCATTTGCACTTTTATTTCATCTATGATCCTGGAGTCGTGATGACAATTGTTTCTTATGCATGGTTGGTGCCACATGGAGCATGGCGACGAGAGGAACATGAGAATAGATGATCGGTTTCATGTAATTTCTTACATACATATATCAAAGAGTGAATTGGGTAGAAATCCATAAGAAAATGGAAAATTAGGGATTTGCCATTTTTGATGGGGAAAATAGTAATGTGTGGGGAGGAGAGATAAAGGAAGAAATAGGGTATGAAGTGAATTATGAGGTTTAGTGTGTGTATGGAGTGCAAATACTCTATATCAAATACCTTTGTTTCATTTTATTGATCAATAATATTGTTTCCCTTTGTTTTCTTTTTATCACTTTCAGATTATAAATCAATTTGTATAGTTATGTGGCCAGGCAAAAATCAATCTTATGATTAAGAGTTGTTAAGAATTTTATTCGCAAACAAAATATTGGGTGACGACCACTCATCAACGAATGCTGAATTGTAAAGAAGAAAATATCAACTAGACATGAGACCATCATTATCGGTGTCCTTAACCATGTCCTTAACTCAATTACAATTAAAAGAAAAAGAAAAATACCTTTTAATTTGAAGGACGTTCCTTAATTAAGGAACAAGAGAAAACGTCCTTATAGGACAGGTGTCAAACAACGAAGTATCATCTCTATCTCTCTCTCCCATTGATGAAATCAGTTGGGTTCCATTTCTCTATTGATCTTGATTCCACGGATTCCACTTCTCCTAACGGCGATGATGATGTGTCCCGGAGCCGAGTTGCAACCGATACGCGGCGACACAACCTCCGCTACTTAGGACACAGCAACGTCTTTTCTCTGGTCGCATCACCCTTTGCAGTGGTAGTGGTGGTGCCGTGTCCTCTCCCCGCATCCGTGATCTCGTTTTCGTCGTGAACGCTCAAGGTGTGTGTTATCCTCTTACTCAGTTAGGTCTTAAAGTTATGAATTTTACATTAGAATCAATCTCTCGAGCTTGAATTGGGTGGTTCTCTGGAGATAGAATTTGACTTGGTTTTAGGATTGAATTAAGAGCTAATGGTAGGACAGATAAGGAATGGAAGAAGTTGCTTCCTTACCTTCGATCTTGTCTTGGTGAAGACTGTAATGTGAGTTTTTGATTCCATGATGCATTCATTATCTATCATGAGAATGGATTTTCAGGTCTTGTTGTTTGTTTCCTTCAGATACGTGAGTCCTTAACATCTGGTCCTTCTCATGCCATTGACATTACAAGAGAGGTAAGTGACAGTGGAGACCTATTCATCGCTTTGATGGGTTCAGTATTCTCTTATCATCCTATTGCTTCTATCAGCCTATTAGGAATGGTGCAGATGCTGTGATTGCTGTAGGACATTAATCTTCCTCAAGTTGATTTATCATTGATGCTTGCGTTATACATATATTATGTTGTGGTGTTTGCAGGTCCTATTTCAGCTTTGTGCTTTGATCCAAGCGGCATGCTTTTGGTTACTGCTTCAACTCAGGGACACAATATTAATGTCTTTAGAATAATGCCGCTGCAGCTGCTGGAATGGTTGGATTTTGAGTCTGGTTCAGAGATTGAACCAATAAAAAGGTGGTCCATGATCTAAAACCAGTTGAGAAGAGAGATGCAAGATCAGCACAGTGACTATATGGAGGTGGAACGGTTTCTGATTCTAAAAGTAAAGTGTTTCCTGAAATTGTTAGGAAGCGGAGTGCTGAGGAATCTTGGAAAATGACTAAGGAAGGAAAGGCCTGTGTGGTGGATAAGCATCAGATGTACATGTCTGAAGCATAACTGCAAATGTATGAGCCTTCTCGGCTACCATTATGGGGAAGGCATAAAACAGTTTAGGTTTCAAGAGTTGATGTTGGATGTGGATGAAGAGAGTAATGGTGGAGGAGGGGAGATGGAGATTGAAGGAATCCAAACTCGAACTATTGAAGCAAGAACAAGAGATTTGGTTCTAGCCTGGGGTTATCTCCACTCTCCTAAATCAAAACCTTTGTCATACAAGTTTGTACCATGAACTGAACAATTAATTTACTAAGAGACAACTAAAAGTCCTACCAATAATCTACAAATTATCAAAAGTCCTTAACTTTGTCCTAAACATCAAAATAATCATAAAATATGTTAAGGACTCAATTTTGGGATAAACCAATAATGTTGCTCTCAGGTCATGAGCGGTAATTGCGGCTTCTTTTAATAACTCGGTGAGCGGTAAATTTTCTATATTTCTGTAACTATTAATTATTACATTTTGGTTTATATTGATTCTCTACCACAACCAAAAGCATATGTATTTATTATTTAAAGAATATTTATGAAACAATCGATATTGGTTTATCTTATTTCAACATTTAATATTTTCAAAAGTTAGCAAAAAAATATTTATATTTGCTACGGTTTTCATAAGATACCAGTGTTGTCTTTCTATTTAACCTTGTGTGTTGTTTCTGATTTTGTTGAATTTTGTTTGGTTAGTGTAGTTAATTGCTATAAAAAAATTTGCATAATTTTTTCTTAAAAATGTCTTTGTTTTTTTTAAAAAAATCTCTAACTTTAAATATAGTTAATAAAACGTTTTCTTACTTCTATAAATAGTTTACACTTACAAAATCATAATAAGTAAAACTTATATTTATATATTTTAACAAAAAAAAACATGTTTATTTACATCATTCAAACATAGAAGAAATTATTGTACTTTTTAGAATTAAAATTTTATGTTGTCAAAAAAAAGTGCCACTGTATAGCAGGGGCCATAATACTAGTGACTAATAAACCGATATTATAGACTAAAGAATCAGTCATAAAATGCAATTATGCAACACAATTGCAAACATGTCTCTTCCATGACATCAACACTCACGAAGTTGAACCTCTCTCACTTACATTTTCTAAGGTATTATAGCCATGAGCCATAGATGGCTTGCACCCAAACATGGGCATATCTTGCAGAGAAGGCGAATCAATACTGGAGAGCTTATATCAATACATGCTTGCTGTTTTGGAGGAGGCAAAGTGGCGGATCCAATCGATGATAAAAATGTATCGAACTTACAACCAGATGCGGCTAGATCTTTAGACAATTCTGTTACTGCTAGGATTTTGACGCCAGGAGAGATTCTTCACTACATGCAGCATGCAAGTTATGTCTAATGTGTTTTATAGTTTTATAACTAAAATTTAACATGTATTTTGCAAACACGGGAATATTTTATAATGAAGTTTTTTACTAATAATTAACAAGTATTTTATTAATTTGAAAAATTGTGTATTTAAAATATTTTTGCGTTAAAATAAATGTTTTTAAATTCGACTCAAACCCACAGTTAGCCTAGTTAATCTAGTGATCTGATAATTCAATTTAGATATTTAAAAATATCCATATTAAAAAAATTATCAAGCATCGAGACCAACCAATGGATAATCGATATATATTTATAAATTTATTTCAATGTTTTAAATTATTTAATTTATCTAATTGATTTGAAAAAAAAATTGTTAGCAATTATTAGAAAGATGAGAGCTAACAATTATAATATTGTTGGAAACATTGATAGTAGTATAAAGAAAGAAATATATTTTTTGAAACTATGAATAATAGTATAAAGAAATAAATATTAGTGCTTAAATATAGATTTAACTATAAAATAGAAAATATATGTAATCTAAAAATTTACAAATAAATATTAGGTAGAATACAATATTTATATTATAATAAAATAGATTTATTGACATAATGGAGGGAAGCACAACAACAGCCACATTTAAGATTCATGCTTATTAATAACAATAGGGGTGGGCGTTCGGGTACCCGTTCGGGTTCGGGTCGGGTATTTCGGGTTTTCGGGTATTTCGGTATTGGGGTTTAGAACCCGTTCGGGTATTTTTACATATCGGGTCGGGTTCGGATATTTTTAGTTCGGGTTCGGTTATTTCGGGTCGGGTTCGGATATTTAGATTTTGAAAGAAAAATTTTAAATTCTTAATTACTTAAGTTTCATGTATTTAAAATTTAACTATTAACTTAATTGGTTTTTAAATGTTTAATAAGTTAGACGATTAATAAGTTTGAAAATAAATTATTGAAAATAAAAATCATTATTTTGGTTATTATTTTCGAATTTTGGATGCAAATTTTGTTTAAAGTATGAAATAAGAAGCTTAACATGCATTTTAAATGAGTAACAAATCAGTTTTTTATAATTATATGTATATTATCTGATATTAAACTATATATAACATTAATATAAATAGTTTTAATAAAATGTGACAAAATAAACTAGGAATAAATAGGTATATATACATATGTTCGGTTATCTTCGGATATCCGTTCGGGTTCGGGTATTACCCGTTCGGATATCCAAACTCTTCTAACTCAATACCCGTTCGGGTATTTTGCTACTTCGGTTCGGATTTCGGTTCGGATATTTCGGGTCGGGTTCGGGTACGAGTTCGGATATCGGATAAAGTGCCCACCCCTAAATAACAAGGTACCCGTAATTAAGTATTTAAGAAAACTAAACAATATATATAGTACATGCAGTCCAAAATTAGCAAATGTCCTAGTATTTCTTTAACAACGGTATTAATCGGTGTCTGATTAACTAGTTATAGCGTTACATTGGATGTTAAAAAAAAACACAATTTGTTTACTATTCGTTTTTCCGTTAGGTTTTTGGAAATTATAAAAAATCTAAATTAAAAGGAATCGTATAATAGAGCAAGATAGGATAAGAATTAAGAGACATCAATCACTCACCACTATCCGAATATCCACGTGGCAAACAGCTGTACCGTTAGTAATGACAGTAGGTTTATGAATAATTAATCACCCGCCATAAAGTATCCAAAAAGGCAGTTTCCACCCATTAAAAAGGAAGATCCTCTCTTTTGCAGACAACATATCGAATCGAAGCACAAGAGATTAAAAAATAAAACCCTAAAGTTTTCTCCTTTTTATCAATGGCGGATTTGGCTAAACTTGAGAGCGGAGGAGCCGTCGTCATAGGCGACATTGGAGTTGAAGTCGGCGGCGCGGCGGGGGAAGAGAGGGAGTTGGAAGGAATATCTGTGTTGGATTTCGATCTGCTTTGCTCCACGGTGGCGCTTCAGACTCAGGGGAAGTGGAGGAAACTCGAGAGCTCCGATGGAGAAGATGATGAATATGGCGGCGGCGTTTTACGGCTTTGGGAAGGTGATGTTATGGACTGCCTTGAGGATCGTCATCTCTGTATCGAATCCGCTTGGTGAGTTTTGTATTTCTCTTCTCATACGCCATCGAATTAAAAGGAAGAGACTTTTTGTGTAATAGTTTTATTTTATCTTTGTCGTTTAGCTGTCCGTGCTATAGATTCGGGAAGAACATGACAAGGACTGGTTTTGGTTCTTGTTTTCTTCAGGTATAAAGATACTATTAAACCCCCTTTTTAGCATTTCTGAGTTGTTCCTGAGTTGCAGTCATTGAAAGATGTTGTCTTTTTATATGTATCTGACTTCTCAATTTTGTGGGTTTGTTGTGTCAGGGTGCGGTTCATATGATTCTTATCATTGGTCTCCTATTCAACGTTGCAGCTTTTGCTGTAACCAAGAGGCATTGCTTTCTCTATCTGGCTGTTGCTTTCGTTATTTTGATTGCATCCTACCTGGGTTTCTTCCGTATGCTGATAAGAAGGAAGTTTAACATTAGAGTAAGCGTTAGTTTGTTTTCTGTGAGTGTGTTAAGGGATTATTTTTCTTCTGTTGTGCATCATGACATGGTTGATTCTCTTTCTTCTTTACAGGGCGCTGATAGTTTCTTTGACGATTTCATCCACCATCTCATGTGTCCATTCTGTACATTAACTCAGGTGTATATTTGTTCACAGATTATAACAAGCTGTATCAATTTATACCCTTTTGGTTCAAACTTGCTTGTGATGTGATGCAGGAATCGAAAACACTGGAGATAAACAATGTCCACGATGGTATTTGGCATGGTCGAGGAGACACACTGTGCATAGGCGTGTATCCTGAAGGAAAATCTTTGCTTGAGCTGCATTCTCCTCCAGTTATTGTATCAACGATGTCACCATAAAATCTACAACACAGGAGCATGAAGCTCTGCGCCTCCATATCTATAGGCATTGGTATCATCATCGGCTGCGGTTAGTTAACCATTGAGAAAACTTTCATGTTTGTTTTTCGAAACTGTGATATATAGCAAACATGGAAGTTCGATTTGAGAGGAGAAACGTTGAGAAGCGACTTGTATGCTAATAGTGTGTACCAGTGCCATTTATCTGTATATAATAGCCACCTAATTGTATGATAATGTCACAGAGAACCGTTTCTTAGGTGAATAAAAGTTGCTGATTAGACTGGGATTATTAAGTACTCTGAATCAAACTATTGGATTCGGTTGGTGGTTTCTGAACTCTAGTATACAAATCATAAGCTGCAAAAGAAACGATACAACAGAAACAATGCGCTGTCTGGCATTTTGTTCTGGTTTGGTTCTGTTGTCAAAATATAATCAGAACAAGCCAAAAGGGGAACAGAGACATACAAAGACGTGAACATTTTATTCAAATTCTCTGGCCCTTTCAGGCAGTCCTTTTCATTGTTTTATGTTCACTGTTCTTCGGTTCAAAGAACAAACAGGCGGTTAATACAGAACACCAACCGCGTAAATACAATCTATGATGGAGTTAGGATGAACCAAAATCCATACCAACAAAAAGGAGATAAAAAGAATGAAAACTAAACAAGAACACGTACTTTCTTTCTATGTTCTCTCGTCTAAGAAGTATAAAATTTGTCCGACTCCTATTATGATGCCAAACAACATTTGAACCTTTCTGTCTCCTAGGGTGCCATCAGACCATCCACAGTGTAAGAAAGAGACTTAGCCCAGTCGGTTTTCAGCACCATTGTTTGAAGCGTGTGCATCACATCATATCCTGGATCAAGTTTCCGTTGCCAACCCTATAATAAACCAAATTCCATTACAAATAGATTGAAGCAAACTTTATCCCTCCAGATGTGTTATAGTATCTAACTGGATCAAACTAGGCTATAATTACACAATAGATTTAAGCTCAATTACTATAATAAGCTTAGTTTTGATCCTATGTATACCAAGTTCCATGATCTGAAAATCAACACTTCAACTTTTGGGAAAAAAAAAACAAATATTTTGGCTCACCTCGAGAACTAATGTTGTCACCATCACGGTGCACACATTCCCATCAATATTAACTCTATGTCGTCTTACTTTCTCAAGTAATTCGTGCATGCAATCTGCTGGATGTACCAAATCTCCCTCAGCTGTTCCCCAGAACTTGAATGCTTCTTCTACTTCCTGTCATCATATAAACATATCATTCATCCATTACATACTTAAAGAATCTCGAATGATATTCTTCCCATACATTTAACAATTTTAACTCTTTTCTGAGGTATCAGGAAACTTTCGATCAAAGATAAGATTACCTCAATAAAAGCCTCCGGATTGGGACAGTTTTGCTTTCTTGATAACTTAAGTGTTCGCTCAGCAGCAGTCCGGCCATCCCTGAGCGCAACCGCCTTGAAAAAATCAAGTAAGTTCTCTCTGTCGTTCTTTGAGAGCTCTGCAGTCATTCCCACGTCAAGGAAAACTATGTGTGGCTTCTTTGTTTTGAAAAGACCCCCACGAGAAGCCTTTTTCCGAACAAGGATGTTCCCCGGATGCATATCAGCGTGAATAAAGTTATCAACCTGAAAAATCATAATTCACTTAGCACCAATGAGGTGTGGTTCAAAAAAAAAAAAAAACTACAAAGATGATTTTACCAGGAGCATCTTCAAGAGAGCATGAGTCCCAATGTGAGCCAACCTAGCCTTAATCCATTCATGTCCATCCATGCCATCAACATAACGTGCCACGCTTTCTCCGTGCTCATACGTCTCCACCAAAACAGCAGGGTGTACAAGCGGATACACAGGTTTAGGAAACGAAACATCTTTCCATCTCCGGAAGTTGTATATGAACCTACTCAAATGAGAAGCTTCCCTCGCGAGATCAACTTGAGACAACATAAAGACACCAAACTGTTGAACACTCTCGTCCAATCTCAACCATTTCAAAGCAGGAACTAAAGTCGATATCTTCGCCACGAAATTGATTATCACAAAATCTCTCCTTATAGATTCACCAACACCTGGATGTCTAACTTTAACAGCAACCAACGAGGACTTGGACTTTTGCCCTGGATACTGAAACCTCAAGGAAGCTCTATGTACTTGAGCAATGCTCCCTGACGCCAATGGCGCCTCTTCAAACTCCTCAAATATCTCAGAGAGTTTACGACCAAACGCCTTCTCTATAGTCTTCTTAGTGTACGCAAAGCTATGCTGAGGAGCATCACTGTGAAGCTTTGAGAGCTGTGAGCAAAGATCGTGGGGGAAGAGATCTGGTCTCGTGGCTGCCCATTGACCCCATTTGATGAAAGCAGGACCTGCTCGTTCAAGAGTTCGATGAACCATCTCAAGCCACACTTTCCTAAAACGTGGCCCACATAGCTCAACAACCAGACCCATCAGGACACTAGGAGTGAACAAACAAGCTATATAGAAAGCCCTCCCTATCAAAATAAAACCCTCTATAACCGAAAACAGCAACGAAGTCAGAAATATAGGACCGTTCTTGGCCCTTGTATAGAGTGATTTATGTGAAGGATAGGGATCTAACAAAGAAGTTGGAGCTCTCTGCGCCCATGCTAGTTTTCCACAAGTGATGGACACGATGCCGGGGATTAAGAGGTGTGAACGGGTGAGAGACAAGCAAAAGGCTTGAGCAATGGTGTTAATACGAGGTAAGTTCCATTGGCGATGAAGCCTATTCCAAGCAACTTGAGCATGATGAGTAACTACATTTCTTGTAGTAGAACGCCGCCGCGGCAACAGGTGATACTTACTCAAAAAGGTTCCTTTACTAGGAAGCCTAGAGAAGGAAGTGTAAACTCTGAACTGAGGCGACCTCAGAGCAGCAGTGTAACTTCCCCATTGGGATCCTCTCTCTTTCTGATTTGATAAAAGAGATTGCTTGTGCTTTCCAACGATTCTAAAGATTAAAAATCTGCAAAGAAACCAATGAAGAGAGCGAGAAAATATAAGCTCAGAGAGGCTAAAGAAGGATCTGATTAAAAGTTGGAACCTTTATACATAAATCCAGTAAAACTACATTTGGAATCATAAATGAGTCTGTGATCAGAATCCATAATAAAAATACGAAATTGGTGGTGGGTTTATGGAAATAAGAATACAAAGGTTGAGGAACACAAACCTTGACATGGCGGTGAGAATGAGAAAAACGTAGGTGGTTGGTTAAGGATCTCTAACACGTTTAAAATAAGGAGCATTTTCTCATTGACTTGGACTTGGTGGGAGCTAAGGTGATGAAAAGACGTTCACCGTTTTGATTCCCGGCGTTAACTGGGTTCGAGAATACCTTCCCGGAGAAAACCTAAAGCCGACAAGGGAAGAGAGAGAATAGGTTGAGAGAGACAGAGAGGCCCACGAAAGCTATGTTTAGGTATGCTGGGCTTATGTTGAACGCTATATTTGATTTTGGTCGACGTGTGACATTGTCAACCCAGACAAATGATGTCAACAAACTAAACTAAACTAAACTAAACTCTTTGGTCGGTCCAAAGACTAATAGCCTGTCGTAATAATATTTTCTTTTTTATAACCGCTTGGTTTTAACCGGGTTTGGGCTCTCCGGCGACGGCTAAAACCTGCATCTCATTAGGTCAGTTTCCTTTCTTCTCTCTCTCTCTGGTCGCCTGCAGGTTAGCTAAATTTGGTTAATTTTCACTGGTGGATAACTGCGAGTAGACGAATTAAAGAAAATTGAATTGAGCTTTAGAATGGTCAAACATTGAATCCGAAGAAGTAACGGTTTAAGCATCTGTATGGGAGATTTAGCTTGTGGTTCTTAAAAGCAGCCAATGGCATATTTTCCCCAAAAGTTTTGTACTTTGATGATTATACAGAAAAAAGCTTGGGACTTTGTGCTTTTTTTTATCTTAGAGTTAGAGGGAGGTATTTGATCAAAAAAAAAAAAAAAAAAAAGAGTTAGAGGAGGTCAACGTTAGTGTTGAGCTATTGAACTGAGTGATTGGTGTCCTGTCTTGATTAGTTTTTAATTGACTTTTGATTGCATGAACTTCAATGATCCTTGCAAATATGATTCAGAAAACAGAGTATTTAATAGCTGAGAGAGAAGAGAAGTGACGAGGGTTGATTGAAAAATCTAAAGGTATCAGATGGGAAGCAGCAACAGAATCGGGGAGCAGAAAAAGCAAATGGCAGAACTGAGCAAAAACCTTAAAGAAGGTGAGAGGATTCTGGAGCCAACACGTAGACCTGATGGTACTCTCCGCAAACCCATCCGGATTCGAGCTGGATATGTTCCTCAAGATGAAGTTGTCGCTTATCAGTCCAAAGGTTCTTTGGTATATAATCTTTATTCCATCAACACTCTTCTGCTTTGTCTCCTACAAATGAATCGTTTGTTGTCGATTTATATCAGTTTTGGTTGTTTATAGCATGATTTCACTATACCACTCTTGTGGCCCTTGTTATACTGAGCAGTCTATTGGTTTAAGCAAGGCATAAAATGTAGATAAAACAGTATTCCTTCCTAACTTGTATTTTCTTTGCAATAGATGAAGAAGGAGCTGGCCTCACTAGGACTTCCAGGTTATGAACCGGATCCAACTCCTAAACCAAAGACGAAAGCTGCTAAGAAGAACGAACGTAAGAAAGAGAAGAGATTACAGGTATGTGTTTCAACTTCCAACCATGTATACGCGTCATATGCTTCGTCTTTAGTTATTGTAACATGCTTCCATATTTCTACATCTGCAGGCTGCTGCGCAGAAAGGTACCAGCTCTGAGGATGGATCAGCTAGTTATGTTGTAGACAAGGAAGAAGCTGTTCACATTGTGACTCCAAACGATGGATCCCAATCTGTGAATGCAGTGGTTTCTGGTCTAGAGGCTTTAGACGTTTCTTCAAATAATGACGTAGCGTCTTCGGACCTTGGAGAAGCACCCAATCCAGTAACTGCAAGAGAAGACACTGAGAAAAGAATACGTGCACTTAAGAAAAAAGTAAGATGTCAAACTTTCTCAGCTCGCTTTAGAATGATACATTTGAGAACGTTTTCGGTGTGCGAGATATGATGATCCAAGTTGATGCAAAAACCTGCAATCTAGCGGTTTTGTGTGATTTTCTGTTTGTCATCTTCTGTTTGCAGATTCGACTCACAGAAGCTCAACAGCAGAAGACTGCTCCCAAAGACCTTAAGCCGGAGCAATTGGAGAAGTTCTCTAAGTTGGAGGAATGGAGGCAAGAACTCAAGGCTTTGGAGGATAAGGAGGCTTAGCTTTCTGCAGCATCAACATGAATTGTCTAGCTTTTAAACAGGTTGTAGCTTTTCTCATGAAATTGCTGGAACCAATCCAAATTTGTATGAGTGAACAGAAGGTTGTTCTTGAAGTTTTCGTCAGAAATCTGGTTAATGAACTTGCCACATTGCTTAATTTCTGAAGGAAATTGATATTACTTTGTGTTTTGTCCTTGCTCAAAGCCTAGGATTTTAATGAGATGCTTTAAAGTTGCTGCAACAAACATCAATCGATCATGTTCTTAGTTTGAAAACTTAAAACCATCAGACGGTCAAGTCTGACATAGAATTTGCGAGAAACTAAAACTGACATAATTTTTGTTTGGTTCATTGAGACTAACATGGTCATTATTACACACAAATCGTTTCAGTGTAAACCAATAAAAAAAATCTAACCAATCAAGATCATCCTCTTCTTTCTTTGAATATTGCACCTCGTTCGGTAAGAACATGAGAAGGCAGACCTTTCTTTTAAACCTTCTCAAGCAGAGTGCTCCTCATCTTTTCCTTCCATACATTGAGGATACTTGAAGGGGAGTTTTATTACAGGCTGATTATCGGACATCCCTTGACTTGCCACCCCAAAAGCATATCCTAACGCAACCCCTACAGGGACAGCGACCGCATTCCCAACCTGGATGTATCTGGAAATCCAGTTTTTCATATTAGAATCTCCAACACCAAACAGACAAAAGCAAATTCTAGAAATGAAGGAGCAGGAAGTGAGGACTTACTTCTCCTTTATTGGGCCACATAGCTTATAAAAATCAGGAAAACCTTGTATTCTGGCGTTCTCACGGACGGTTAATACACGATCTTGCAACGGATGGATTACAGTCTGCAAAAACCAGTTTTAGTGACAAAGAATTCACAGAAAAAAAAAACAAATGGAAATGTACAAACCGACTTACCTGGTTGTGAGGTTCTGCTCTTGTCACAACTGTATGAATAATCTCGTCCCACCACAGACGACCAAATGGCCTGACATTCAGTTAGAAGATGAGTTACTTGAGTAAATTTAATACCAGGTTATGGTAATAGAATCCAAGAGAAGTATATTAGTTAGAGAAAGTCACTTTTTCGATTTTCCATTGACAAATGACATTGCATAATCAGGAACCTGAAGCAAACACAAGCCACGTCAATATGAATCTGTAGAAAATGGGAACAGAAAAACCACAAAGTTGGGAAGGGATTCCATTTGTACCAGAAATTTTCCAGATTTCAGTTTTGGTCGTTCTACAGAAGGGTCAAATTTCACTTTGTTGTCTTCATCAACTATAACACCAGGTAAATCTCTGAAGTTGGCACCCTGTAGCAATAAGATTCAATATCAAGAACAGGAGATTTTTACAGTTTGAATCATTAAGAGAAAGTACTATAACATATCGCATCAGAAGATAGTCATACCTTCTTCTTTATAATTTGGCAAACCCGTTCAAGGTCGTCTTCATTTAGCTCAAGTGGTTGGTGATCATACAACATTCTTGACTTTGATCCACCATCCAGGGGGATTATCGACTCTGAAACAAGAATATTGGTTAGTATAGGTAAGCATCAAGGGAAACACTATGTAGTTTAAGATTCTCACCAGCTCTGGAAAGACGTATGAACTTCTGAAAGTTTGTTTGAGGTCTTGTATCATATTTCCTTTCATCGTTTTCCTCAGAATTTGTCGCCTGCAGTATTTAAAAAAAAAACAGAAAGCGTTGACCAATGAACTGTGTAGACATAAGGTTTCATAAAAAATATGAATATTTTAAGGTTTAGAAACACACTGGTGGGAGATCGCTTATCGCATCTGCAAGAGTTAGAGCCTTCTCTAACTGAAGAAGATTCTTTTGGCTATGTCCAACTTGTATTTCCTGCATTTTCAACAAATAAATAAGCAATGCGATCATGGTATGGTAAGAGTCTATGAGATTGAAAGGTAAAAAGACCTCATAGCAAAATGACTTGCCTCAAATTCCGTAGGGATTAAGCTTTTGGCGAGAGTCTCGTGAGTGGGAAAAGGGTAAGGTGGCAGTTTCTGTTAACCAAATTATGAGAGCAATAAGGATAACTCTTTCCAAGACAATATATAACTGGTAGGATGGTATCTATAATGTAACTAATAATTACCTCTGTTGGTTGTGCCCCCCATAGGAATACTCTATTTCTGATTTGAGGAACACCGTAAGAACCCGCAGTCATCATACCTAATCTTGTCTGATAGTTCATCGCAACTAGACGAGCAACAGCATAACGTGCACAAAATCCCTTTGAAAACTTTAAGAGATCGACAACATTTTCCATGAGCACATAATTTGGCTTCAAATAGTCGATAATGTCCATATACACCAACAACTGCTGATTCTTTTTATCGTCAAGTGGTGCCTCGTTGTTTCTGAAACGGTTAAAGCCACTAATCCCTTGACATGGAGGACCTCCACACACAAAATGAACATCACCCTGGAAAAGAAACAAATTTTGAGACTGATATTCGGAAGCAAAAACCATAAAACTTCAGAAGATGTATTCCTGATGAACCAATCATCTTTTAAAATGATATTCTTTAATACGATTATTGGCTTTGCCTCATTCATCAAACTCATAGTAAGCAAGTAACGCGACTTACAGGAAGGGGAAATCGGTTAGTGTTAAACCCGGTTGTCACAAACTCCTTTAACTTATCTTTGCATTTTCTGTTGTATAAAGAGTAATCAATATCAATAACGATAAGACATCAAAACAAAAACAAAAAAATAGTATGAATAGTTACCTTAGCCCATCATAAGGTTCCCAAGTATCTTCATCAGGACCATAACCTTTCCAACGCACCTAATATTATTGAAAAAAACAACATCTGAATTACATCTTACAAAAAAAAAAAAAAAAAAAAAAA